TCTGGCTTTAACAAGACATTAAAACCAACATAAAACTTCATGTAGAGTATTACAATCTTTAAAATACATAGCAGTATAGATTCTATTTTCTTTTTACTCAAAAAGAATCTGAAATATTCAACCACATACAACTAAATTAGTCAAGTTAAAAAACAGTAAGATGATTAACTTTCTTATGGATAAGTTGTATTTCTCTAACCAGACTATAACTTTTCTTAACTTTCTTTGGCATATGAAAATGTCAGATCAAGTTCAAGTAAGCAAAGGATAGACATCAGTCCTTAAAAAACTTTAGTAAATAGATATTACCATCATCATCATCATCATCATCATTTATCATTATTTTATGAAAAGGTAAATAATTATGTGCAATAGACTGTTTCACTCTATGGGGTGAACTAAAATATGATACAATTGGTATTAACATAGTTTTGGAGAAATTGTAAAGTATAAAAGAATATATTTTTAAACAGCTATTTCATGTTAAATGGAAATATTAATTTTGTATTGTGGTAAATGATATACTAATGTGCTTGTTCTTTATCAGGAAAGACAAAAAGATCTGCCAGAGAATTAATTTTTTTATGTTTTAAAAATATATATCATCAAAAAGCATTGAGTTGAAGCCCAGTTGCATATAACTCAGTGACAGAAGAGATCTACACTTCTTAAAGAAGACTATTAATCAGAGTTAAGCACATTCATCTTACTTCTTTCCAGCTAACCAGCATAATGATCAGGATTATTATTTCTAATTAGAGGAAGTAATAGATCATGTATAACCTTAGGATGAGTCTCATTAATTAACCCAAGTCCTAGGGGACTTCAAATAGAGGTGGTTAGGCACTCTGTCTTTGTCATCTCAGACCTTAGACTTACACTTACCACATATGATCATATCTGAGTGAAATTACAATCTCCTAACATGCAAGAAATGTGAAAATATAGATGACATTCTGTATGTAAACAAACAAATAGAAAAACAGAGCTATTGTTTAAACTGAATTAAGCTATAGTTACCTTGTCCTTAAATAACCTTTGAGGAAAACCCCCCTAATAAAAGGTTACTTGAGACAAGTCCAGTTTGTAACAAGACAAAAAGGGATCATTATACTGAAATACCTAAAAGTGAATCAGTGTTGTCCCCTACAGCTATTTCTACCTATCACTAATGTCATTTTATTTGTAATACCGTCTCATTCATATAAACACCAGGAATATAAACTATACATATACATACATATGATTATACATAATTGTGTATTTGTATAAATATATGTATCTTTTTCCCTTTTATTATGTGTGTATGCATGTGACTTTGGGCTCCTCAACTTTGATAATTCTCTCATAATTATTTCTTCATCGTGTTTTAGCTCTCTAAATCCAGAATTACTACTGTTTAGTTTCAGTATTACAACAGCCTTTAAATTGAGGTCTCTGGGTTGTAAATGATGTAACTAAGTAAGGAAAGTGTCAGTGGTGAGAACTAACATTTTCTATGAGCTAATGTCACCAAGGTGTTTGACCCATTCACCTTAAGTGATGGAGTTGCCACTAACTGAGATGGAGAAGTGCCTGTGAATAAAGTGTGGAGAGAAATGTCTTATTCTGTTAGACATTCAAAAGGAATGTCAAGTAGACAGACAGATATGTGAATCTAGAACTATTGGGAGAAGACAGATATGAAGTAGGAAATGAAAGGCATGATATGGCACTTGAAGCCATCAGATTAAATGAGTTCACTCAGAGAACGGAGTGATTGAAATGGCATCCTAAATAAGTCTGACTCTAATATACTCTTTAATATCTACTCAATGAAAGTGTCCTCAATATTATGTGAATAAATAAGATTTCATATTATTTTCTCTGTACTCTTATCAAGGAGAATCTGATAGGAACTGTTTGCTTCTGGAGTGCTTTTCACACCTATTTTATGACCATTCTTCAAACTTCAATATCAGGCTATTTAAATTACAAAATAGTTTCAAGTGCCATATTCACTATAAAATCTTTCTTGAGGCCCTCCCTGGTGGCACAGCGGGTGAAAGCACAG